TTCCATACTGGGTTACAGTCTCACTAATAATGACAATGTTCCATACTTGAGTACAGTCTCACTAATAATGACAATATTCTACACTGGAGTACAGTCTCACTGCTAGCAACATTGTTTCAGGGTAACAACACAGATTCGATCGGATAATCCATGACGAATAAATAGTAATCCACCATTGATGGAACAGGAATTTCACAGGAGATCTACTCACTGTGCAGACCTAAAAGCAATACGGCTCTCAGTAAAACTGAACGTTGGTAACAAGCCTAAAACGGCGCAAACTACGTCCAAAACCGAATGGGACTGAGGCAACTGCTAAGTTTCTGCGAGACTTGCACCTTAGACTGAGGAATTTACTTCCTTTCGGATTTTGTCCCTCTCTCACCTTGGGGTTTCTCACCCATGAGTGAGTGATATGATAGAAGACGGGGAGCGTTCTTGCTTTCGCTGTTTAGTGGAGGTGGACTAAGACGTTTTGTGATTATGGGCAAGTTTTAGTGAGCTTTAACTGGCTGCTTTGCACTTTGGTTGCTGCAGTCACTCTCCACAGCAGAGTGTTTTATATATAGATTCTCAGACCAGTTACATTTTACCAAAGCACAAGAGAATCCTGATTGACAGCAACACATTGGCTACAGGGAAACTTAATTCAATAACGAGAAAGGAGCGAGTCTGGTCCCTTTTTCAAAAAAAACCTGACAGAAGGGTTTGTATTCTCATTCTGCTTCTCAATGCGAGAAGGGGATGGCTGTAAGTTATTGAGCAGTTTTGTGCAGTTCCACTTGGGAAAAATTGTCAGAGGATAAGGAGACTCCATCTTAATCTGAGAGTCTGCCAATTCTGCTGGAAGCAAGTTATTTTTTGCCCCTTTAGTTCAGTTCCTCTTCGCAAGGTCGTAACTACAGTACCTACAGCCGTCGTTCCTCTGCTCCGAGGAAAAACCAGGTATTTAATTATCAATGGGATTTGATATCAGAAGTCCCGCTTTACCCCAATGCATTCTAACCATTCTGGATGTCAGGTCCTTTATATTTACCAACTTTTTTTAACGCTTGATAGCGAGAGTTCTCTATTTGATCCGAGTTCTGCTCTTTTCTATCTTATTTAAGGAACCATGGCGATGAATTCCGCACTTAATGCCACCGAGGAACATTATGGGAACGACATTAAGACGTCGGTGAGTTTCCTTTAGGATTTAAGGCATCCTTTTAATACAAACGTTCTCCTCCGTCGCCAGTAATAGTTCAGGACGTCGACGATCTAATCATTAAACGGATTGAGAATTTTTGTTAGAAAACATAGGAAGAAACAAACATAACACACCCCATGTGCAAACTTCCTGGAAAACACTGACCCCGTGTTTCGAGGAATCTGTTCTATTCCTAATGAAAGAGGAAGGACAGTTTTGTAAAAGTTTTCGAATGCCGTTTTTAAAAGAGGCAGCTGTGACTTTATTTTTGCACTAGAATGTTATGCACAGGAACTGGGAGATTGGATACGAATATTGGAATTGAAGGGATTCCTGTGCACCCTCCAATCTCATCTAGAAGTGAGCGCCTTCAAACACCACTTTTTACCTCCAACACTTCTCACCATATATTATGCAATTTGTTTTTTTTTCCATTTAGAAGTCTGTGCTTTACCACTCTTTCAAATAACAGCATTAACTGTTTTAATTCCAAGTTCCTCTGAGATAGCTTTGATGGCTTATTGTTCCTTTAAATTGTTTATTGTTTATTGCTTATTATTCCATTGTCTCTTGCTACTACCTTGCTTCTCCTGCACAAGTTGTAGAATTACTGTATGGAATTACACAATGACCAGTTGCATCTTCTAATGTCTCCATGTGTCTCCTGTGTAGCACTAACATGATGTTACATGTCAGTACGCATGGTGGCTCAGTGGTTAGCTTTCTCACAGTGCGAGGGACCTGGGTTTGATTCCACCCTTGAGGGAATGTCAGTGTGGAGTTTGCGCGTTCTCCCCGTGTGTGTGTGGGTTACATCCAGGTGCTCTGTTTTCCAAAGCTCAAAGATGTGCAGGCTAAGTGGGTTAGCCATGGGAAATGCAGGGTTATAGGGAATGGGTCTGGGTGGGATGCTGTTAGAGGGACTTGTGGACTCGATGGGCCAAATGGCCTGCTTCCACCTGTAGGGATTCTATATTCAGTGAGCTATATTTTGCTTCAAATTTACACTCATACTCTTGATCCCTTGGTTGGCTACAATGAATGCCTGCCCATTTAAATGTTTGGACAATACATTTAACAGCAATAACCCAGTTGCAGTGGTGGGCACACATGGTCAAACATTCTGAATTGTGGCCACCGTGAAAGATTGCCTAGTTTTATATAAGAACCAGGTGCAGGAGTAGGCCATTCAGCCCCTCGAGTCTGTTCTGCCATTTGATTTGATCATTGGCTGATCTCATCTTGGCTTCAACTCCACCTTCCTGCCCTCTCTTCATAGCCCTTCAACCCATTACTAATTAAAAATCTGCCTAACTCTTCCTTAAATTTACTCAATGTCCCAGCATCCACTGCACTCTGGGATAGTGAATTCCACAGATTCATCATCCCTTGAGAGGTGTAATTTCTTCCCATCTCTATTAAATCTGCCACTCCTCATCCTAAAATGATAACCTATCATTCTAGACTGCCCCAAATGAGGAAACATCCTCTCTATGTCTACTTTGTCAAAACCCTTTAGCATCTTATGTACCTCAATTAGATCTCCTCTCATTCTCCTAAATTCTTGACAGTACAGGCCTAAATCTCTCTTCATAAGACAAACCCCTCATCTCCAGAATTAATCTAGTGAACCTCCTCTGTACTGCCTCCAATACGTACATCCCTCCTCAAGTTAGGGGACTAAAATTGTATGCAGTATTTCAGGTGTGGTCTCATTCAAGCCTGTACTGATGTCTGTATTGAACTAGACTCAAGACATGCCCAGGAATTGACTTTGGCACCATGTAGAAAGCTTGCACAGCCAGTCTATCAATTTTCAGAACTGTTCAGCTTTTAGACTCTTTACAAAAGAACATTTAGTAATGCCAGAGACAAAGTTTAAGTTAAGGGTGAATGTGAAAAGCAGTGGCATTCCGTCCTTGTGGACTCACAGCGATAGTTGTGATTCCAATTAAACATTTTATTGTAAGAATTAAGAACAAATAGGAATTCCCTGTTCAAATGATTGACAGTCTATTATCATGTCTTCTCTTAAATATAACCTTTTGTAATAGTGGTCTCATATTAATGTTTTGTACTTTGCAGCATCTTGTTAAAGGTTTGATGTAGGAGAGAAGAGTAGAGGTTATATGGTGAAAGAAGTACTTTGTAAACGTACACTAACAGAGCACATTGATATTTTGAAATTAAATCAAATGATGACAATACTTTATGGACAAAAAACAGGGTGAGCTGGAAGGAAACTTTCTCCTTCTTGTTTCAGGTACAGGTTAAGGGGACAAATTGTGAATTCTGTCCCAAACTCTGCTGATCATATTCATGTGGAGAAGTTTGATGGAGTTGAGGGGAACCAAGGGGATGCCAATGATTTCTAAAATATCAGTGAATCCTGCAATGCAGTTCCACTGCATGGATTGTTGATTTGAGATCTGCAACGGCTTTCAGAATCATGGTGTCACTCTTTTAGAAATACAGGCAGAATGGACCTTTAGTTTCCAATCCAGGTTGCTGCACCTTTCTTGTCCTGATGAGGTGGAATAATAAGAGATAATTGATAAAGCTGGCAGGGCAGGCTGAGAAAGTGTTAAAACAGCAAATGGCATCCTGGGCTTTATAAATAGAGGAATAGGGTGCAAAAGCAAGGGAGCTATGATGAACCTTTTGTAAAATATAGATTTGTCCTCAGTTGAAGAATTGTGTCCAATTCTGGGCACTGACCTTTAAGAAGGCATCACAAGACTGGTTGCAGGTTGAGGGATTTCAGTTACATGGACAAATTGGAGACATTGAGGGAAGATTTCAAGGAGATTTGTTGGCAGAGTTCAAAATCATGAAATGTCTTTCTTCATTTGTTGAAGGGATGTGGGCAACATTTATAGCCTGTCTGTAATTGATCTGAGGGGCAGTTAACAATCACATTGCTTTGGGTTTGGAATCACATGTAGGCCAGGTAGGAATGGCAGATTTATTCCCCAAAGGACATCAGTGAATCAGATGGCTTTTTACAACAACCAACAGTGGTTACATTTAGGCTACATTTTTATTGAATTCAAATTAAATTCAAATGTGCTAAGGGGAGATTTGAACCGTTTAGTCCAGAGACATACCACTACACCACAAGCTGACCGTTCTGGGCAGGGTAGATATAGAAAAACTGTTCCCATTATTGCAAGGATTGAGATCCAGAGAACACTGATTTAAGTTGATTGACAAAGATCCAAAGACAACATGAGAATTTTTTTAAATGCAACAAGCAGTTAGGAGCTGGATTGCATTTGAGAGTGTGGTGCAGGCTGATACAATTGAAGCTCAAAAGGGGATTTGGATAATTAACTCGAGAGAAAATTTGCAGAGGAACCGGTGGGGAATGCAAACACAGGCACTGACACTATGGGTTGAATTGTTTCCTTCTATGCTATACTGATTCTCAAAAAAAACTTGTGAAATTACCTGAGTAAAATACTTCTGGATTTGGCAGATCAGCTGACAGATCAGCTGATCAGATGGACAGCTGGTGCATTCACTTATGTAAATTATATATATTGTAATGAATCAAGCTATAGGTTTAAATGCCGTCATTACAAACGTATGAACATATAAATTAGGAGCTGGAATAGGCCACTTGATCTCTGAAGTCTGATCCTGACCCACAATTCAGTAAGACCATGACTGACCTGATTACCCCATAACCTTCCACCCCCTTAGCGTCATAGAGTCATATAGTTGTATAGCATGGAAACAGACCCTTTGGTTCAACTCATCCATGCAGACCGGATATCCTAAATTAATCTAGGCCCGTTTGCCAGCATTTGGTCCAATTCCCTCTAAACTTTTCTTATTCATGTACCCATCCAGATGCCTTTTAAATGCTTTAATTGTACCCTGGGTAAACGACTTTGGCTATTTATCCTAACTATGCCCTCACGATTTTATAAATTTCTGTAAGGTCACCCCTCAGCCTCTGACGTCCCAGGAAAGATGGCCCCAGCCCATTCAGCGTCTCCCTATAGCTCAAACCCTCCAACCCTGGCAGCATCCCTGTAAATATTTTCTGAACCCTTTCCTTCCTATAACAGGGAGACCAGAATTGAACGTAGTGTTCCAAAAGTGACCTAATCAATGTCCTGTCCAACTGCAACATGACCTCCAACTCCTATACTCAATGCACTGACCAATAAAGGCAAGCATACCAAGCACCTTCTTCACTATCCTGTATGCCTGTGACTCTACTTTCAAGCAACTATGAACCTGCACTCCAAGGTCTCTTTGTTCAGCAACACTCCCCAGGACCTTACCATTGAGTGTATAAGTCCTGCCTTGATTTCTTTCCAAAATGCAGCACCTCACATTTATCTAAATTAAACTCCAGCTGCCACTCCTTGACCCACTGGCCCATCTGATCAAGGTTCCATTGTACTCGAGGTGACCTTCTTCACTGTCCACTGTACCATAATCTTAGTGTTATCTGCAAATTTACTAACCATCCCTCCTATGTTCACATCCAAATCATTTATATAAATGACAAAAAGCAGTGGACCCAGCACCGATCCTTGTGGCACACCACTGATCATATGCCTCAATCTGAAAAACAATCCACCACCACCACCCTCTGTCTCCTAGCTTTGAGCTGTGTCCAAATAGCTGGTTTTCCCTATATTCCAAATTAAAACAGAAAAAAAACTGCTGATGCTGTAAATCGGGAACAAAAATAGAAGTTGCTGGAAAAGCTCAGCAGGTCTGGCAGCATCTGTGAAGAAAAAAATCAGAATTAAACTTTCAGGTCTGGTGACCCTTCCTGCCTGGTGACCCTTCCTCAGAACATTCTGAAACATTAACTGTAATTTTTTTCCTCACAGCTGCTGCCAGACCTGCTGAGCTTTTCCAGCAACTTCTATTTTTTTCTTCCTATATTCCATGCGATCTAACCTTGCTAACCAGTCTACAAAGCGGTTACTTGTCGCGCGCCTTGCTGAAGTCCATATGGATCA